TTAAATGCATTCAGTATATTCAGATTAGAAGAGAGTAACTGGGGGAATCTCCCTCCCCAGTGTCACTTCCTCACTGACTGTGAGACATTTTGGGGCCTGGCTTCCTCTTCCAAATGAGCTGAGAAATACTGAAACTTCAAACATGTTGATGACATTGCTCACTACTTATATAAGTACATACAGGAAACATCTCTCAGCAAATTATGTCAGGAAAACAAAGCAAAACAAAACAAAACAAAACAAACTTACCCCACCCCCCAAAAAATGACAACCTTCTTTTTCTCAAGCAAGGACAACTGTATAATCCATTATACATTTTTTTCTGTTTACTTTGGTTGCCAAGACAAATGGAGCTAAATTTATCTCATGTTGAGTAACTCCCCCATTTCCAGCTCCCAAAATTATTTTCTCCCTTTCCCTTCCTCTCCTTACAAATGACTCTGATCGGTTCTGTATTGATACTATCTGGTTTTTTAATAGGTTGGATTTATGTGGATGATATTAAATTCTCTTGGAAGAATGCACAGTATACACAGCAAACACACAGGCACAAATGAAACAAACGTGGTTGCTAGATAACTTGCCTAGGTCTTGGAGAGAGGTAATGCTTCCTCACCCGTAAGATTCATCGTAAGTGTTCCATCTTAGCATCCAATGACCTTCTCAACCTAGCTCAGACTCACCTGCTTCTCTCTACCACACTGGTACCTGTGCTCCATCAACATCAACCAGGACCGAGTGAGGCTCAAATACCTGTCCCCAATGTTGCCTTTGCCCCTAGTGGGTAAGGACTTCGACTCAGTGCTTCCTTGCATTCTCAGCACCCCAGCAAAAAGACCAGGCACAGAGTAGGTGCAACAGATCTTAGGTGGATGAAATCCTTAATTCAATGATTATGGCTTTGGAGAAGCCCTTGGGCAAGCAGTGGGGTAAGATAACAGGGGCACACAGGTGACTAAGATGTGGTCCCTGCTCAGTGTGATAGAGACCAGACAGGAAAGCAGGTCAGCAAGGGGGCTATCACCAGGAGAAGCAAGGGAGGCTGTGTGACCCCAAAGAAAAGACACTTTACCCAGTTTTGAGGAACTTGGCCTGAATAGGGGCTGACTAGCCAGCACAGCTAGCCAGAGGGCCAGTCTGCAAGAAGCGGCAAGATGTCACTGGGATAAATTAGAATTGGAGGCAAAATGTCTATGGCCCTCTCCCCGGTTAAGAGGGCCCTGGGGGTAGAAAAGAAAAAAAAAAGGCAAGAAAAGCAGTCCTTTCTATACATGTTTTTACCTCACTTAATAAACATTGAGCCAATATTTAAATAGTATCAACTAGAGAGGACAAAGCATTACACTCAGCTCCAGGGTAACCACACATCTCATCTTGGCACTCTCGTAGGGCTCAGAGAAGACTTGTGGGAGAAGGTAACGCCTACACCAAGACTTGAAGATGAAACAGAGCATTCAAGCTAAAGACCACAGACATATGAGGGGCAGTGGGAACAATACTGAAAACTCCCAAAGCTGAAGCAAAGAGGCCTAATTCAGGAATAAGGATGTAGCTGGAAATGTAGCTGGAGAGGCCAGACTGGGAACAACTCCCATGGCCATGACAACTGAGGAACTTCATTTATTTATGAATTGAGCACCCACTATGTGCCGGGCACTGTTCTAAGGTCCCAGATATAAAGCAGTAAACGGGACATGCACTTCAGTCACTGGAAGATTAAATGAGGTGGCTTTATTCCTATTAGACTAATTATAACAACCATTCACTGAGTCTTAAGTGTGTTGGCCCCTGTGCACATATAATTTCATTTAATCCTCACAATGGTGCTGCAATCACATGAGACAAGAGATGTTTAGCAACTTGCTCAAAACCACACAACCAAAAGTGGCCAGAGGCCAGCAGTGACATCAGATCTGTCTGTCTTGACTAATACTGGGGCCACATGGACTGGGTTTGAATCCCAATGCCCCCATTTACCAGTTATGTGACCTTCATCAAGTCACTGAATCCCTCTGTGCCTGTTTTTTTGGACAGTATATCGAGATCATAATATTAGTACCTCCCTGGTAGAGTTGTTAGAAGAATTCAATGGGCTGATGCAATCAAAGCACTTAGCACAGTCTTGGCATGTAGGAAGTGCTTAATAAGTGTTAGCCACTATTATTAACCTGGCTGCAAATAGGTTTGTTAAACCTGTGCTACCCAGGAAGCTCTCAGGAAGGACACAGAGCTCTGAGCAAGTTGACAAGGTCCCCTTGAGCGAGGGTTTGTTTTCCTTGCTTAATTCAATAGCATGCCACTTCTCCTGACCAACTTCCACACAAGTACCTGCTAATGGCTTTCGTTGTTCTGTTTACAGTGCTTCTAACAAGTGTGGCTAACTTCTCATTTGCATCCTTAATACACAATTTTAAAAGCATGTTGACACTGCAGTTGGTTTTAGGAGACCTGGGTTTTTCGCTCTTTTTTTCTTTTGTCCTGTTTATGGGCAGTTGGATGAGCTGCAACAGCTCAGAGCACACTCCCAACTCTCCCAATTCAGTCTGATTTAAAACTTTCAGAGAACTTTCTGGGTAGGGAAGGTTAGTTCATCCTGATCTCACAGACCTTAAAACCATGAGGTTGAGCACCTCAGGTCACTGAGCAACCGGAGGGCTGTTGTCGCTACTATCATTCACCTGAGCTATTTTATTTAACAGATACAGAGAGTGTTAACTCTGCACAGGGCACCACTCCAGAGGACTTTACAAATATTATTGTGAATTGTGATGCAACTAATGTAATGCATTTAATCCTCATTAACAATTCTACAGAGAGAGGCTATTAGGGTCCCTATTCTGCAGATGAGGAAACTGAGGCACAGAGATGTTAAGCAACTTTCTCAAGGTCACACAGCCAGAAACAAGTGTGCTACATTACTAGCCATATGACCTTGGGCATATTACATAACCCTAATGGAGTAATAAATTACAAATGACTTTGCACCCTTCACAACCATCATTATGTTAAGGTAGGTATTAAAATTTTAGAGATGAAGAAACTGAAGGGCAGGGGTCCTAAGAGGCTTGGCTGATGTCAGAGAGAAAATTAGTGGCAGAGTTCGGATTAGAACCCAAGTCTATCGATTCTCCTTGACCGCTGCAGTGCGCTACGGGTGAAAGGTGGTGATAGTTTCTATGCCAAAATCCATTACTGCTGCGGCCCCTGCTGTTCCTGTTATTTGCAGCAGGACACCCCTCCCCCAAGTACAATAACAATGGCAGGAACACAGCTGATTCAGTTTTCAAGCCTGAGACCCAAGCCCATGCATAATTTACTCAATGCTGCCCTGCAGTCACTTAAACTGAGGAGAGACCCTATAAATTCAAGTTTGCATGCACTAATTTATTTCTTATTTATTCTACTGATACATATCGAGGGCCTCCAGCGAGCTGCTCTAGCACCTGCTCAAAGGCGCCTGCAGTGCCAAGTGTAACTGGGGCAGAGGGCGGGGAGACCCTGAAAAAAGCCCCAGAAGGAAAACCAGACCCCATGGACTAGAGCCATGCAGGTAAAATTAATTTTCTGTTGAACTGAGATTAGCCCATACACATTCGTTCACCTCCTCTTTCGTGATAAGTAGGGCTGTAAAGGTTGTTAAATGCTTTATTCACTTTTCTGCCTTAGTAAAGCAATGAGCGCACTTCAGTGACTGACATTCCTGCATGAGCAAAGGATTATTTTTCTGAGTCACAGAATGTCAAAAGGGGAGCAAGTTTTCCAAGACGAAGATATTATCAGAAAGGGAAGGAAGAGAAGGAAAAAGGCTGCCATTTTCTTGAGTGACTGCTGAGGACCAAATGCTATGCTAGAAGCTACCCATGGCAGAGGTCTCCCCGTGCAGACTTTTTCAATATGGAAAACAATAATTACTGGAAGAACTACTAAGGCATTGTCCAAAGATATGATTTCACAGGTGGTCAAACTGTGGCCCAGAGAGGGATAGTGACTTGTCCCAGGCCACTCAGCAAGTTGGTCCCAACATGCTCCCCTACTTTTTTACTTTTTATTTTTATTGAAGTACAGTTGATTTACAATGGTACATTAGTTTCAGGTGTAAGGTAAAGAAAGTGATTCAGTTAGATATATACATTTATATATATTCTTTTTCAAATTCTTTTTCATTATAGGTTATTACAAGATACTGAATATAGTTCCTTGTGCTATATAGTAGGTTCTTGCTGTTTATCTATCTTGTATATAGTACTGTGTATATGTTAATCCCAAACTCCTAATTTATCCCTCCCCTCACACTTTTCTCCTTTGATAGGCATAGGCTGCTTTCTGTGTCTGTGAGTCTATTTCTGGTTTGTAAATAGGTTCACTTGTATCTCAGTAAGTTGGTTCCAACATGCCCCTTCTTTCACGCTCATCCTAATTTTAAAACTCAGCTGAATTCTTAGCATGAGTGAAAACTTCCAGCTTTGCCTGCATTGTTTCTTTTCTACCTCACTTCCCCCAATTAATTATCCTTACCGATAGGGGCATTAGGGTAAAGAAAGGGTAAACTCTGAACTTGGCAGTGTTTGATCCCTGCAGAAATAGAGTTGAAAGCCTGGGCTAAGCCCGTGTTCTTAAGCATCACACCTGCTGGTTTCTTAGTGACACTTCAAGATGCCTGCTTTTGTCTCCAAAATACACTCACCTGGGGTACAGGGTCGATGCAGAAGGGGCGAGAGACTTCTGCAGAAAAAAATCCTGACCCTAGGATGCAGCTTGAGCATGGATTCCATTTGTTATAATCATAAATCAATTATTTATTTTTCTTCTTCCATGCTTCTTCTAAATACCTAACAAAAGGTTATACTGTTGCCTTTTGCCTCTTGGGCTGAAAAAGCAGAGGCAGAAAGGCCATCTCATTGAAGGTCAGTCCCAGCCGGGCTGAGCTACAGTTCCTGACCTTTTTCTGCATCCCCCGCTGCTGAGAACGCAGTGGCTGGGCCTCGGGGACAGAGACTCACCCGCAGAACATGAAGATGGTGCTGGAGGTGGCGTCGTAGGGCAAAGGCAGTGTCTGCTGCAGGCATAGCTGCTCACAGCCACCGTTGAAGCCATCGGAGCAGTCGATGCCTTTGGAGTGGTCATAGCAGCCGGAGCCGTCCTTCATGGGCCTCAGCTCCTCCGGGCACTGCTCAGAGAGAGAGCAACAGGGTGGTTACAGATGAGGAGGTGATGGGTCCCTTCGCACCTTCTGCTCCCATCTCCTGAAAAGGGGCAAATTAGACTTTGAACCTGTATTGGGACCACAGAGCCAGGTTCAAAGTCTAATTTGGCCAACTAACAGCTGTGTGGCCTTGGACAAATTCCTTTACCTCTCTGAACCTCAGCGTGCCTACCTGTAAAATGGAAAGTGGTACAGTTGTGAGAATGAAGAGAGATAATGTCTGCAAAGGGCTTAACCGTATAGCAAATGTTAGCTGCTATTGATAGTGACCTTGCTGGGATCATCACCATGACTGGGTTTATTACTGTCCAGTAGGGTCACTTTGGGAGGTAGCCTACCAATAGGTGTTTAAATTCCAGATCTTCCCCTTCTCCCTGTGTGACCTGGGGCAAGTTACTCTCCCTCTCTGAGCTTCAAGTTCCTTATCAGTTAAATAAGCATAACGCCTGCCCCTTGGATTTGTTGTCACATTGAAGTTGGATCATGCCTGGTGTATAACTTATTTCAGAATTTGGCATGTAATTTGGTACTCGTCAAATGTGGGTTCTCTTATGATTCTGAGTATCTTAAAGCATCACTTCTTCTCCATCCTTGTGCCTAAAGTCCTAAATGAGATTCCTACATTCCCACAAAGCCCTCCTGAACAGTTTGCTGGCCACCATCTGACCTCCTCTGTACCATCCTGTAATGGCCAGCAGGGTGACATTTCTAAATAACATCACTCCTCAGCCTAGATAAATACATGACTTCTAAACAACAACTACAAATTGAATTTTCTAAAGCTAATAGCCAAGGTCCTCTGCAGATGATACCAAGCCCTCTGCCTGGCCATGTGCATATTCCTCCATAAAACCAAATGGGCTCCGGCCACTAAAATGCCCCAACAATCCCAACCTTGAGTGACCTCAGCTGAATGCTCTTGTCGATGTTCCTGGCAGCTGCTAAGTGCTCCGTGAATGGACGCTCTTACACCCTAGGGAAACTTGGTTATTTATTTAATTTAGTTCCCTATCATTTGATGAGGCTGAGCTCATCTCCAGTCCAGCAGATGCAGAAGCAGTTCTAACTCTCCGGAGTTGGGGAGAGAAAATGAGGTACTAGGTTTTCATTTCAGCCACCCTGCTGGCATTTTCTGTCCACCAAGATTAACACCCAGAGCCCAGCCCTCCTCATCCATCACTGGACATCGCTGATTAAAATGCCCTCCCAATGTTTCTCTCCTCCCAACCAACTCCCTCGTCCCCTCCCCAAACCGTCATCCTAAACAACATCAATAACAAAACACACACGCAAAAATTAATTTACAAAAACCACAGTAACAAAAAAAGGTCAGCCCTCTTGGAAATTAAATTTCACCTAAGAAAAATCTGTAATTACAAATGCATGAGAGAATTCTTCGAGGCATTTGAGACTGGCGCCAGGAAGGGTGACAGAGGGAGTGGGTTATAAATGGCCTTTGTCAAGCTGCTGAAAGGTTATAAAACTGGCTACATTTTGTGCTTAAAAAGAAAAATCAATTTTCCATGTGAGTGAAGTGCTGTACATATTAATACAAGCTCAGAGGAGGCCCTGCTTGTCTCTGAATGTTCACTGTCAGACAGGAAGGCGCCTAGTCCTGGGGTCATTTGGAGAGACTTGTGCTGGTACAGGGGGCTGGGTCTGACTGTCTGCAAAGACTCAGAGATGTGTGCTGGAAGGAAGGGCAGACCTTCTTGCCAGGTCACCGGAAATACCTGGGGCAGGGTATTACTCACAGTTCTTTCCATCCTTCACTGAAAAAATATGTTCTATAATCCAGGCAGACTCTAAACACTTTATCTGTTTTAACTCGGTTAATCCTTATGGCAAACCTGTAAGGTCATACGGTAGGCTAAGGATGACTCCCAAAGATACGTCCTCATCCTAACCCTTGGAACTCATGCTACTTTCTATTGCCAAAAATTTTTTTTCAGATATAATTAAATTAAAGCTCTTGAGATGAGGAGACTACCCTGGATTTCCCAGGTAGGTCCAAATGCTGTCACAAATGTCCTTATAAAAGAGAGGAATGGAGAGATTATACACACAGAGAAGGCCATGTGAGGGTAGAGCAGAGATTGGATGATGGGGCCACAAGCCACCAAATGGTACAGTCACTGAAAACTGGGGAGGCAAGGACACATTCTCCCCTAGAGATCCTGGAGGGAGCAGGACCCTGCTGACATCCTGATTTTAGACTTCTGGCCTCCAGGATTGTGAGAGAAAAATTTTCTGTTTTCTTTAGAAACGGACATAGAAAACAAACTGTGCTTACCAAAGGGGAAAGTAGGGGGAAGGATAAATTAAGAGTTTGGGATTAACAGATACACACTACTATCTATAATACAGATAAATAACAAGGACCTACTGTATAGCACAGAGAACTATAATCAATTTCTTGTAATAAGCTATAATGGAAAAACATCTCGAAAAAGTACATATGTTGTTTGTATAGGTATAATTGAATCACATTACTGTATAGTTGAAACTAACATTGTAAATCAACTACACTTGGATAAAAAGTAAAATTTAAAAAAATTCTGTTTTCTTAAGCCACCCAGTCTGCTAAGCCAATCTTGAATTTCTAATCCTCAAAAAATGATGTGAGATAATAAATGCTTTTTGTTTGAAGCTGCTCCATTTTGGGATAATTTGTTACACAGCAATAGGTAACTAATACAGTGAGATAAATGCATTAAGTGCTTGGCATAGTGTTCAGCAAATGGTAGCTGCTGTTCTGAGTATTATGAAGAAGCTTAAGATCTAATTTGAGAAATAAGAAATCAGCCAGAAAACAAACATGAAGAAGCCCAGTTAATTTGAATGGGAAAGTGGAAATTCCGCAAATGTGATTGACCAGAGAATAGGGCAGCCTTGTTCAGGGAAGTCTTCTTAGAGGGAAGAGATGGGTGTCACTGGAACAAAAGGGAGATTCTGGTGTCCTAAAAGGACAAAGATCAGAACTCAGCCCAGGCACACCATTCGCCTGCCTTGTGACCTTGGGCAAGGCCTTGAACCTAACTGGGCCTCGGTTTTCTCTTTTTAAATGAGGGAAACAGTTTGGAGACAAGAACATAAGGACTGACATCAGTCCTGAATTCCACACGGGTCTTTGACACCAAGCATCCAGGCAAATGCCTCACCTTAGAGACAGCCTCGGGTTCCTCATCTGTAAGATGGAAATAAGAATGCTTCTCTGGGAGGCATTTCTGGAGACCCTCAAGGAAAACAACCTAAAGTGTCTGGCTCAGAACCTGGCATACAATAGGCACTCAAGAAATGAAGGACAAATGATGAATACATGAAGCAAGTAATAAATGAATGAGCCCCCTGGCCACCTCAGAAAACCTAACTGGGACTATCAGCTTAGTTTTTCTTTCTTAATCATGTAAGTCCTTCATCGGATCATTTAACAGATGTTTACTGGACATACACTCAGTGCTAAACAAACAGGCTAGATGCTGGAAACAAAGTCATAAAAAAGACAGACAAGACCCTGCTGTCGTGGAGTTTAAATTCTAGAGAGAAGACAAATGATTAACAAGTAAAGAAATACAGTGATTCTTTCAAAAAGTTAAAAAGTATGACAAAAGTATAATGTGATTAAAAAAAGTGAATTGAGGGTGGAGTAAAGGAAGCATAAATGGAGAATCTGAGCTAAGCCTGAAAAATAAGTGGAATCTCCCTGGTGAATATAAGTGGAAAGAGTTATCAGAGAAGGAACAGCAAGTATGACAGTCCTGAGGCAGTAACAGTGTTGGCCTGTCCATGGAACAAGGAGGTCAATGCCCTCGAAGCTCCATGAGCCCGGGGAAAACAAGATTAGCGCAAGACAAGGGGTGAGAGGTAGGAAGTGACCAAATCACTTAAGCCAGGGGTTGGCACACTATAGTCTGTAGGCCAAATCCAGTCAGAGGCCATGTTTTTTCTAAAATTATATATATTTTAACATTTTGAGATACTTACAGATTCACATGCAGCTGGAAGAAATACTATAAAACAGAGACATCCAGTGTATTGCCAGTTTCCCTCAATGGTAATATCTTGTAAAACTATACTAAAACATCACAACCAGGACATATACACTGATAATCAAAATATATAACATTTCCATCACTACATAGATTCCTTCTGTTGCCCTTTTAAAGCCATGTCTACTACCTCCCTGATGCGCTTGGAAACCACTGATATGCTCTCCATTTCTACAATGTTTGTCATTTCAAGAGTATTACATAAATAACCACAGAGTTTTTGACCTCTTAGGGGGGGTTGATTTCTTTTTTCATTTGGCATAATTCTCTTATTCATCCAGGTAGCAGCATGTGTCAATAGTTCCTTTTTCATTGCACAGTATTATTCTGTGCTGTGCATGGACTATAGTTTAACTGTTTGCTTCATAAAGGACACTTGAGTCATTTCCTGTTCATGGCTGTTATGAATAAGGTTACTATAAACATTAGTGTGCAGGTTTTTGTGTGGACGTAAGTCTTCATTTCTCTGGGGGGGAAAAAAGGCCAACGAATGTAATTTCTTGATCACATGGAACTGCATGTTTAATATTTTTATGGAGCTGCCAAACGTTTCCAGGGTGATTGCACTATTTTAAATCGTCACCAGCAATGCATGAACAATCCAGTTTATCCACATCCTCATCAGCATTTGATATTGTCAGTACTTTTTACTTTAGCCATCCTAGCAGGTGTGTAGTAACATCCCACTATGGTTTGCATTTGCATTTCCCTAATAGTTAACGATGCTGAATCCCTTTTGTGCTTATTTTCCATCTTTATATCCTTCTTGGTGAGATGTCTCGTGATGTCTTTTGCTCATTTTATAATTGGATTGTTTGTTTTTACCATTGCTAAGATTTGAGAGCTCTTTATATATTCTAGACACTAGACTTTTGTCAGATAAGTGGTTTTCAAATGTTTTCTCTCCCACTCTGT